CTTGCCACAGGCGTCGGGCTACGCTCATCAGGCCTGGATGGAGTCAGCTCAGATGATTGCGGGCTGGGGCGGCGCCTGCGATGGCGCTCGCGGCTGCTGCGGCTGCTGCGGGCGCGGCCCCTGCGCCGATCCCTGTCACGGTCGCGGTCGCGTGAGCGATCCCGATCTCTGTCGCGTTCACGGTCTCCGTTTCGTTTGCGGTCCCGGTTGGGGGCTCGCTCAGTGGGCGGCATGGCCGCGGGCGGGGGGCAGCGGGGGCGGCAGGGCAGCCGCTCGTCTCGCACGCGGGGCCTCGGAGCCAAAGCGCGACGGGTCGGGCAAAAAGCACGGCGCGGACAGACACTCTTGGCGCGCATGAAAGCGGAGAGCGTAGCAGGCGACACCCCCGCCCCACTGGCCACGCTTGGGGCGCGCCGGTGGACAGCGGGCAGCAAGGGCAATCATGGGGAAGTGGGTACATGGCACGCAGGAGCTGGAACAAGACGACACTAGAGGAGGCTAGGCACGCTCATGCCAGACCACATTGCGAAGCGCTCGCGATGCAAGCGTGAATCCTGGCCGACGACGACGACGATGGCGACCGCGACGCCCGCCCCCTCTCGGGTCAGCCGCGGGCAACCCTACAGACGGCCGGGGGCCCAAGCAGTCGCTTAGAATCCGTGAGGGGGCAAAAGCGGCACGGCGCGGCAAGATGGTTCGGTGCGGTCACCGCGCGGACGACAAAAGCACTCGGGCCCCCAAGTGAGGCCAGCGCGCCGCTGGCGCGGCCTTCACCAGGACCTAACGAAAGTTAAAGTGCAGCGCCACCCGGCGCGCAGCTTGCTTTCGCGGCCTAGCCGAGAAACCACTGAAGAAACAGCTGGGGCAAGAAGGCAAGGCAGGGAGGAAAGACGATACATTGCAGTGCTAAGCGACATATAAAGTTTTATTGCCCCGACGACGGCAACGACGATGCCCGCCCCCTCCCGGGACAACCGCGGGCTGCCCGACAGACGACCGGTGGCGTACTAGGACGCAAGGTGAGGTAAGACGTCGAGGACAGGGCAGCGAGGAACACACCGCAGGAGGGGCGCCCAGGACGCGGGGCGGCCCGGCGAGGCGTAGACCAGAGGTTCGACGGACGAGGCGCGGCACGGCACTGCAGCCCAAGCACGGAGCAGCACCACGGCACGACACACAGCACCAACGCGGCGAAAGGCACCACAGCACAAACCAAGGCACAGCACGGCCCGGCACGGCACAGCACCGGAACGGCCCAGCACAGGCGAGGCACAACACAAAGCACCAGCACGGCGAAACCGCACCACACCGCAAGGCACGGCACAAGGCACAGCACGCGGCAGCGGCACCGGGCCAGGGCCGGCAGCCCACGGGGGCGGGCGGAGGAAGCCGCGAGGCCGAATATTAAGGCGTCGCGAGTCAAGGAAGCATGCTGACACAAATCAACCAAATGAGGAAGGCTGGATTTCCTAACACACTGTGGCATTACAAAAACTGAAACAACAGCAAGAGGAACCTGGGAGACAACACCCCCCCTGGGTTCTCGACTTCCAGGCTTTTGCCCGGCCAGTTTGACGCTGTGAGTGCATCCAGAGAGAGAGAGAGATAGAGAGAGGCAAATGAGCGCGCGCAGGGCGAGACCAAGGGATGGCAAGCACTGTGCGTGGATGAGACCAAGGGCACAAGACACAAAGGCCATTGCTGTGTAGCGCAATGGAATGCCCCTGTGGACGGCTGGTCTTCCCAGCTGGCCTCCCTCAGACCGGGGGGGTGGATTCAGGCTGGCAGGAGGAGGCGGGGGCAGGAGCAAGCGGGAAAGGGGGGAAAGGAGGGGGAAGGGCGCAAATGGGGGAGGAGGGATAGGGCAAAAAACGCGGGTTCGGCCTCGGAAATAGGGTTCAACTCAGGAATTGCCCTTGTGGTCTGCAGGGCCGACGGGGGGCGCGCCGTCAGACCAGGGGGGGAATTTAGTTCTGCTGGGGTAAGGCGCGGATTCACGGCCCCTGCCAGAAATTGGCCTTGCGGTCTGCAGGACCGTCGGGGGGGGCCTCGACAGACCAAGGGGGGAATTGCTCACCATATTACTAGAGAGGGCACGGCACACCACGGCAAACACCAAACAGCACGACACGGCACGGACACGCAGACAGAAATGGCACGTCACTTACAAAAGCACGCACACAAGATGGGAGCGACAATCTTCCATTCAAGTGAGGCATGCAAAACGAGAGCAACAGAGAAGAGTGATGATGATGGAAAAGGGCAACAGGGATGCACTATGTTGTTTCCTGGCCGCTGCCCCACAGCGCCAGGCAGAGTCACGCGCCACCTGCTCGGGCCCGGCGCGGCTCCTTCACCCAGCCCGTGGCTGTCGCGGTTGCCGGGCGGAGCTTCTTTTTGCCTACCCCCGCGATCTGCTCTAGGGCCTTGCGGCGCTCGCAAAGGAAATCGGCAAAGGTCTCAGGAATGCGGGCAAAGCCCCCGCGGCTGTTGAGGCGGAGGCACTCCGGCACCGGATATCCCCTGCCCTGCACAGCCTGCGAGCGGTGTCCGAGAAACGCTTGCGTTCGTCAAGAAGTTTTTGCTGTAGCACCCTCGAGGATACATCCCCAGACAGCAGCCGCATGCCCAAGACAGCCTCCGACAAGAGAAACAGGACTCCTTCGGCACCCTTACCAAAGACCACAGTGTCCTGGACACCCAAGATGCCCTTCTGGTTAGCCCGGGCACTGTCTCCTGAAACTCCGAGAATCATTATTCCATGCTGCGCGAAAAAAGCGCCCGCTCCACGAACACCCAACATCGAGGCAACGATGTCCGATTTCGACCTATCCTGCACCCGCCCATCAACATCAGTAGAATAACTCAACGCAAACTTGTGGCCAGTGTCAGGGTCGCGCTGCTGGGTCTCTGCTGCGTTTGTCCACTGAAAGACCGTATCGTACACCTGCTTGCCCAACTTGCGACGTTTGGCTGCCACGTCAATGACGCGACTCCCCCTCTCCTCTCCGCGAAGCTCCTCGCAAGCTGCTGGGGAAAGCTGGGCAATGCGAACTGCTCGGACGAGCTGGCCTTCACTGCGCCGGAAAGAATCGGAATCGGCCTGTTTCTTAGCAGAATACCTTGGCTTTGCAGAACATCCGGGGGCAGGTTCAAGACAACATGGCATCTCTGAGCAGCTTCGTTCAGTGAGCTCACTAGGCACGGCATCTCAACATCGAGGCCAATATCGTCCCATGACAGGGGCTCGTCGCACGAGGCAAGCAGCGGCGTCTGCCGATGAGCCATCATCTTCAGAGGAAGCGAACGGAGGCGTTCTGCCGCAGCGAGTCGCGCAGCCTTCTGGTCGCTTGGTCGGGCCCCGGCGTCGTGCAGGTGGAAGCCCTGCATGCTCGTGCTGCGGGGCGCGCCCTGGCCGCTGCTGGAGCCGTGCCGCGCGCGAGGCTAGAGCCAAGCAGCTGCAGGGGCTCAGTGTTCGCAAAAAAAAAAGAGCAACCCAGGCGCCAACGCCATGGAAGAAGGTTCCACGAGCGACGCGTCCAAGTTGAAACGCCAGCAACGCAAAGCAATACAATGCAACTTTGATTTTCCTCACACGCCTGCCCTGGTGGTCACCCGGCCTAAAGTTGGACGGGTGCCTGGGCGGGGGAGCAGGAGGGGGAAAGAGGAGGGGGCCAAAGAAAGGCAACACTCTCGCTAACATGGGCGTCCCTGGGTCCTTGCAGCCCTTAATGCATGTACCCTTCTACCAAGCTGAATACTGCCTCCACTGCCGATGAAAAAAACTCTTCTCCCTGCTGTTCGTTAGAGGTGGGCGAGGGAAGGGGAAGAAGGAGAATAAGGGGGGCAAGCGGAGGAGGAGGGGGGAAGGAGGGGGGGGGGGAGGAGCAGGCAAGGAGCGAGTTAGTTGAGTAGAGCTCCGGACGACGCTCCCCCCCGGCGGCAACTCGCCGGGTGACAGCCCCCCCTGCAGCTCTCAAAGGTGACTTGCGATGCGCCCCACAACCCCGCCCAACATAGGTTGCTTGCGCTGCCGGGCCTGGAACAACACAGAATAGAAGATGCAACAACGAGGGGGGAAAGAAGGAGGGGAGGGGACAGGAGAGGAGGAGGAAAACCGCAAACAAAGGAGAGAGGCCAGGGCAGGGGAAGGGAGGGGGAGAGGGGAACAAAGGAGGGAAAAGACGAGCCGGCTCGACCAGGCAAGATAGATCACAGACGCCCCGTGCGACGCTATAGCAGCCAAACACACTCTTTCCCATTCCGTCTGCTACCGCGCTCCTTCCAGCAGACACATTACTGCCCATTTGCTACAGCGCTACACCAGAAGGCAACATTTTCCGAGCGCACGCCTGGGCGGCGCTCCCTCCCGACGCCCCCTCCAGGACGCCGACAGACAACGCTCCCCTAGGACTGAACCGCTCGGGAGCGGAGACACCCGGCCCATGGCCGACCCGCAACGCCCGCCGCCCCCGGACGACAGGGGCGACCCCCGCCCCGCCCCCGCCCCCCTTGGCCTGCTTGAGCTGGCCGTTCCCCTTGAGCCAGAATGGCTTGAGCCAAGAAAACGCAAGTTTTGTGGCCGCTGTGCACGCTGTTGCAAGCGATTCGCTAGACACGCTCGTGCGGTTAGGATTTCCAGTAAAGAGCTGCGATGCGCAACCTGGGTCTTGAGATGCCTGGCTCGAGGGGTGGGCGTGTGCAGGAAAACAAGTCGCATGCACAAGTTGCAAGCCCATCGCAGGAATGCTGGAGAGGCTGCTGAGACCCTTGGGGGGGCGGGGCTCCTTTCCGCGTCTGGGCACGGAGCTGGGGTGTTTGGGATTTCGGACGCGTCTCCTCGCGAGCGCCGGGCGTTTGCGGGAGGGCTTGCGGGGGCCGCGTCCAAGGCATCCCTGACTGTGTACCCAGCCACTCAGAAGGACGATCGATGCGACCCGATTTCTGATGCGACGGTTTCGCTGAGGGGGCGTTACTCGGCAGCGCTCTGGATAAAGGCAGAGTCGATGAGGCACGCCTTCGCCGAGCATGGGCTTGGATTCGTGATGGAATAGCTAGTCGCGTCACTTGGGCGGGGGCTCGAGGCCCCATCCACCCGGTCTGGCCTTCTCTCTCGGGGGTCGGATGGTCCATGGTGTCGCCCACTGTTTTGAAAACGTGCCAAGGGACCCTGATCGACCTGTTGCAGTTTTGCCCATGGGATGTGTGTGGCCTCCTCGAGGAAAGTCTTCGCCGGTTTCAGTCGAGTCGCATTCTCATGCATTTGCCGGGGGTGAGTCAGGAGTCCTACTGGCGCTGTGCGTTGCGAGTAGCTCTGATCAGGTTTAAGGATACCAGCAGACAAGGCGCATTGCGAGCACTGTGGGCTGCGGGTGTGTGGACGCCAGTGCGCGCACATTCGATTGACCTGCGGCCCGCGCCAGATTGTTGCATGTGAAAAAATTCCAGGTACAGAGGCCCGCCAATTGTTCGGGCGCCCCGAGGCTCTCGAAGTTCATGATGAAGAGGCGCCTCTTGACGAAATCCTGGAGCTTCGGGAAGTGATGATTGCCAATCACGATTCTGGGCCCCAGGGCTTGGAAACTTTCTATCTTAGCTATGGGCTGCCGCCCTGGCCGCCGCCGCCCGAAGCTCTCTGCGCTGAATGCCCTATCCTCGGGCGGGGGGGCTGGCGTGGAGCTGTGGGGCTGTGGGGCGGAGGTTGAGCACTGATGGTTCTGGCATCGCATCTTCGACGCCAGGACTCACGCGTTGCGGATGGTCTGTGCTGGAACTCGACGAGTCAGGCATAATTATTAGATCTGCTTTTGGAGCACTCCCAGTGCTCGTCCAGAGTGGTGCCGCGAGCGGAGTATCGCGCGGCGCGCGTGGCTGTGCAGCTTGCCGACAGCGATGTCGGCATCACCTCTGGTCACTTATCGCTAGTCAAGGCTGGCCCGGCGTGGGGGCACCACAACGAAATCTCGTCATGCGTCGGTCTGGAGAGCGATGCGCAGCACATGCCAGCGCAAGGTCCCGATGTTTGCTTGGGTCCCAACGCGCAGATCCGCAGAAGGTGTGCTTGGCGACCCTGAGGCATCCTTTTTCGATTTTGTAGGCAATGAATGGGCGCACCATTTTGCGAAGAAGGGAGCACGAACGTATATGTTTGCCCAGGCGCTCGAGAAGATTCATAAGATGAGTCTTGCAGAATTCGTCAAGGACGCGCGAATTTTGTCGTGGATGACCAGGACGGTGGCCAGAAGGGTTGATGACCTCCAGCCGAGGGTGGACCTCCCCGAGCCTCGTAGAGCTCCCCCTCCAATGACCCCTGTCGTCTTTGAAAATCATGATTTCAGAGTGTGCGACCGACCGTCTGTCGGAGTTCCTCTGTCGATTGTGCAACCGACGGGCTCGCGCACTCAGACGGCAGCCGTGTCAACCGTCGGATCTGTGTCGAGTGGCCGCCGCCACGTTTTTCGGCTCACGCCAGAGGACTACCGCCACCCGACAGGAGCGGTGGCAGTAGCGCTCGAAGCTGCCCGTGAACTCGAGCCAGCTGGTGCAGCGGGCCGCGAGGACGGGCCACTGGGCGGGGGCGACGGGGGGGTCGTCGCCGTCGCCGTCGTGGAGAATGGCGGGAGGGACACGGTCGACCTGGCTCTCTTTGAGTGGGGCCATCAGGGTGAGTGGTTTAGTGATCACGTGTTTTGCCTGTCTTGTGGTGCATATTCTATTGATCAGAGCCGTAACCGTAAGCTCGAAGCTCGATGTGTCGGCCCGTCCCCAGTCGCTTCGACTCGTTCTAATCAAGAGCACGCTATCTCATGACTGATTAGAGGACTGCATCCACGCACAGGTAAGCGGTCTCCTGTGTGATTTCTTCGCACGCTCTGGAGCCTCTGCCCTCGTCGTTCGATGAGCTTGGTTGGGGGTGCAGGAGTGTGCAGGAGCGGTGCTCGGCAGCCATCCTTGTCGGCTGCTCCACCGCTTCCTCTTCTCACGCTGGGGCGCGCTCGGTCGGATCGGCCGCGCCTTCCATCGCTCGGGACCTCCTCCTCCTCCTCCTGCTTCTTCTCCTCCTCCTCCTCCTTCTCCTCCTCCTCCTCCTCCTCTTCCTCCTCCTTCTCCTCCTCCTCCTCCTCCTCGGCCGCGTCGTCGCCCGCTCCGCTGCGGCGCTGCTGCGGCGGGGGCCTGGGCTTGGGGCCCAGGCCCGCCCCCGCCCCACGCCCGGCAGCCCCGTCCCACGCCCGGCAGCCCTGTCCCACCTCCTGCCCCCGCCCCACTCCGGGCCCCGTGCCCCTGGGACTACTGGCTGTATAATGGTCGTGGTGGTGGTGGTGGTGGTGGCGGTGGTGCTCGCGGTGGAGCTGCCGGTCGGCGTCGCGGTGGCGTTGCTGTCGTTGGCTTTTGCTACGGCCCTGCTGGTCGGGGCCGCCGCAGTGCTGGCGCGGGCTTCGGTTCGGGTGCTGCTCGTCGTGGTGGTCGTCGTCGTCGTCGTGGTCGTCGTCGTCGTCGCGGTGGGGGTGGTGCTTGTCGTTGTGGCAGTGCTGCTGGCCGCTGTCGTGGTGGTTGTGCCAGTGGCGTTGTTCGTGGTCAGCGTCGTGGTTGTGCTGGTGTTGCTGGTCGTAGTCGCGCTTCTGCAGGTCGGGGTCGTGGCGGCGCTGGCTGAAGCGCCGGTGCTGGTGCTGCTCGTTTTGGTGGCGTTGCTGTCGGTAGCCCAGGTGGTAGGGCTGCTGCTGCTGCTGCTGCTGGTGGTGCTGGTTGTGGTCGTGGCGCAATTGGTGGTTGCCGTCGTGGTCGTCGCGGTCGCGGTGGCAGTGCTGCCCGTTGCTGTCGGCGCAGCGCCGGCGGTCGCAGTCGCCGTTGTGCTGCTGCTGGTGGTGCTTGTGCTGGAAGCCGTCGTTGTGGCGGTGGTGCTGGCGTTGATAGTAGTCGTGGTGGTGGTGGTGGTGCTGGCTGTCGCCGTCGTAGTCGTTGTGGTAGTAGTGCTGCTGTTCGCTGTCGTGGCGTTGGTGCTTGCGGTGTCGCTGCTGGTTGGGTTGTTTGCAGGGGTGCTGCTGCAGGTTGCAAGCGGGGCGGCGCTGGTGCTGCTGGTTGTTGCCGAGGTGCTGGCGGTCGTGGCCGCGGTGGTCGGCCCCCGCTAGCCCTCTCGCGTGGGGTTTTGTTTTCAGGGGGGTGCCGACAGGAGGTCCCCTCGCCAATGTGCTTCTCCGTCTGTGGCGAGCGTCTCGCTGGGCACGTCTTCCAGCAGGCTGGCGGTCAGGGCGTCGTGAATGGCATGGGCCAGCATGTCAGTCCACCTGTGCAAGAGCGCTGTTGCAAGTGACCTGCGCAGCGCTACTGGCGCGCCCCTGGCCCGGGCCTGCGCCAAGACCGCGACCAACTTGCGCGCCTCCTCGTCCCACCGCCCACCTGTTTCTGCCCCCGCCGCCAAGAGGTAGCTGCGACTCGAGCCAACCAGTTCCTGGTAGGTGGTCTGCTTGCCGCGGCGGGCTCGCTGAAGCACGAGCCCAGGGCGGAGTCTCCGCGCGGCGGGCCTGCCGGCGGCCGTCAGCGGCGACGCGATGCAGGCGTCGATGGCGATTTGTCGGCCGCGGTAAGCTGGAAGGCCATTCGCGACCACCTCGATCCGGCGCCTGTCGTCGGCCGCGATGCCCGGCAGGTTCATGTCGCGCGAGAACACGTTGGTGCGGACGCGGCCCCTGCTTCACGGCAGGCCCTGGTCCACATCCTTTCAATGGGGGCGCCGCGCTTGAGCAGCCGCCCGCTGCGAGGGCAAGCTGCTCTGTGGTCGTCTCGCGAGGCCAAGTGGGCTTGGCAGGACCGCCCGTTGCACCTGCTGGATGTGGCGTCCAGAGGCAGGCGGAGCCGTCGGAGGAGCAGCGTGCGGAGACGCCCTGGCGTGAACGTCGTTTCTGGCGTCGAGGGGATCAGCGTCAGGTGTCGTCCGCCGCAGCAGCCTCCCTACGAGTCAAGCATCCACTGTTGGTCGTCTGTCAGGCCAGGAAGCACGACCTCCTCTCTGAAGCGCCGCTCTCGTGCTGCTGACGCGTGGTGCTGCCATCCGTGCTTCCACTCGCCGGGCTCTGACTCTGCTTGCTCTGGGCGCGCGCCGTCCCAGACCTCTTCCCAGGTTGGGCAAGCGAAGCCGTCGCGAGTGGCTGCGACCCTGGCGCGCTCGGCCTCCTGGAGACACTCGGCCGCGGCACCCGTGCCAGTGCGGAGGGCGGGGATGAGCTTTGCTGCTGCGAGAAGGTTTCTGTGTCGCAGCATGGGAAGCGCATCTGCCCACGACGCCCAGTAAGCGCACTCGGTCGTGCGCGCCGCTGACTTCAGCCCGAGGCCGTCGAGGCCGAGCGGCAGCGAGCTCAGTCGGAAGAGTCTTTGAGCGTTTGCCGGCGGAGGGGCCAGGTCGATGTGGCCGAAGAGCGCCCTCTAGAGCGAGCGATCGTGCGCTTCGCCGTAGGGCCGCGACAACGATGGAGGCAGCGTTCGCAAAACGTGCTTGCATCGCGGCACAGCACAGTACAGCAAAAGAGCCCAAGCATGCTGAAGGTCTGGCAGGTGCGGCAGCTCTTGCAGGAATGCGCGTTCATCTTCTGTCCTTTCCTGCGTCAGCCGGGCCGCGAACGCAGCAGTGCCCAAGGGCGTGCCGAGCACCTTTAGGCCGCGGTGCTCCTCTGGCGTCCTGGCTCCGCCCGCCCGCGCGTCTGTGCCCAGCGACAAGTGTCCTGCTAGTTCGAAGCCGCCTCGGTTCCACATGCGGCAGTTGCCCAGATTGGCCTCGATGCCTGCCCACTCGCAGGGCCGCCGTGACTTCGTGGAAAGCTGCCGTGGCGCGCTCTGGTTGGCAGACAGTGTGCGCGTCGTCCAGGTGCGGAAGCAATGTCTCGTCAGGCTGCAACTGCGCGCTCGCCATCTCCAGGGCGCCGTGCTGCGCCAGCGAGTAGAGTGCGGGCATGAGCGGGTCGCCTTGTTCGCCTCCTTCTCCCTGCCTTAGCTCGTGCGCAACTCCGGCGTCATCTGTCCACAGGTACGTCGATGGCTGGCCGTAGGAGAGCATCGCGGACGGAACCAAGGCAGAGGCCCCAGGCAGCGACAGGAGCTTCTCGATCGTGCGGTCGGGGCGCACGTGGTCGAAAGCCCTGATGCCGTCTATGCTCACGATGGTGGCTGCTGGGTCGGCGTTTGTGGCCGCGCGTAGGAAGTGAACGGCGCTGTCAGTACCAGCTCGCGTCGACAGCGCGTATTGAAATGGCGCGCAGGCGTTGTCTGTTTCAGGCTCGAACTGGCGCGAGAGAGCCCTGCCAACGAGCCTGCGGAAGGCGTCGCCTGCGACGATCGCTCGTGTTCGGCCGTTGTCCTTCAGCAGCACCGTCAAGCGACCAGTGCCAAGAGCGCGCACGACACTCGCAGGGATCTCGGCTCTGGCGTAGCGCTCCGCCACGGCAGCCTGCAGTTCGAGCGTCTCGTCTTCGTCCAAGGCAAGCTTGAGCAGTTCGAAGCTGGCTCCGCTGAGCGAGCTGGGCGACCCCTTCGGCTCAGAGCGGACGCAATCTGTCCAGATGCGGCGGTCCAGCTCGATGGGGAGAGACGGCTGGAAAGCGCGCGCGGCTGGCGGCAGCTCGGCCGCGGGCTGCGGTGGGCGCCGGGCGGGGTCCGTCAATTCTGCCGAAGCCTCGGCGGTTCCTGGCGCCAGCCCGCGCAAAGCAAGC